TTATGCGTATTATTATTAGTGATTAACTTGTGTTTCAGTCAGTTAATCACTTTTTGATTCACTTTGTGAATACATTGTGGATTTTTGGAAAATTTTGCTTTCTTTTCAAGATACGTAATTTACAATGGAGGTAAGCAAATATATTTTTATGAGCTTTTTTTATTGTTTTAGTTGTGATATTCTCTATAAAATATTAAAAGTTTGGTTTCTTAATTAAGGGCACAAGTTTTTTAATTGAAATGTTGTTAGGACATAAAATGTGTTCTCTAATTTTACAGAATTCTGTAACTTTTTGTTAAATAAATGTAACAAGAAAAATGTTTCTTTTATCTTAGTTTGGCTTTCTAGATGTTTGAAAATAATAAAATATTCAGATTTTAAATAAATTTATAAAGAATCGTGTGTGATTGAAAAATATTGTAATAAATTTCTCGCGAGTTGAAAGGAAGACCGCACAGCAATATTTCCGAGATAGTAAAGTCAGAAGCGGAAAGGCAATGTGTAATTACCTTAATTACAGCGATTACTATGTAGCGCAACTGCAATCGAGGTAATGTCGATCTTTATAGAATCGCGCTGTGCGGAAACGCTTTGTCCGTATGTATCTTCGTGCATAAAAGGGAACATCTCTCTATTTTATTCCAATATTCCAGCCGAGTCTCTTCTCGACGCAACGCGTTTACGGATAAATTTTAATGACGTGCAGGAATATCACATGGAAAATCGTTTCGTATTTCAATACGATCGAAAGACGATCCTATGATCCTATAATTGGAAGCCAGAGAAGTTTTATCTAAAAAAAAAAAAAAAAAAAAATTAAATAAATAAAGAAACGAGAAAGAGTCTCGCTCCAATCGTCTCTGGTGGATGGACAACGCTTCTGTAGCAAGTTGGGAAATTACCGACAGTATCAAAGAACGAGCGTCATTGACCAACTCAACCAACGGGAACGCGGATTCTCACGGCGGGGACCGGTCGATGGATAGTACCTACGTGGGCGTCGCGACGCCGGCGCCGATACGAAGCTCACAGGTGGTCGCCACGCAGTCTGGCTGTGTTTCGTGTCGTGGTGCCGTGCCGTGCCGCGCCGCGCCGTGGCAGCGCCTCGACGAGCTGCCGGCTTTTTCGAGGTCCACGACCGGCTGCAAATCGATCCGCGGCCACTTCCGGCTTCCGTTTGTTGTGACGCCCGCCCTCGCTCACGCGCGCGGGGTTCACCCCGACGCGAAAGCAGTAACCTCGCCCCCGCGACCTTTCTACATGTGTGCGACACGATTGTCTCTCACCCCGCGCGAGTCGCGCGGCCGCCGCGAGTGAGTTTCCGCCATCGCGAGCTACCCCGCGTGTGAGCTCGCCGTGAGCTTCCGTCGCGTGCTTCGACATCATCGCCCTCGTTCGAACGCGCCGTCGGAATTTTTTTGCCGACGTAGTGAGCCACTTTGTCAGCTGGGACCGATCGGAGTAATTGTGATATTGTGTTGGGATGATACACATACGCCGTCACAACAATGCTCAATTATAATATCGATGACCGCCCCTTATCCCCGCTATAATTCGATTAATCCACGAGCGTCGATCTTTAAATAACGTAAAAATTATTTTTGCAATTTCTTCTATATACTACGACGTAGAATAATGGTTGTAATAATTAATAGTTAACTGATAATAAAAAGCGACCGTGACTATCAAGTTCTTCGATCGAAATATATTGATAATTCAGTGAATTATATTTGGCCGTTTGAAAGTTGAGGCATGCATCAGGCTTGTCAATATATTCCATAATATATTAATCGTTTCCACCACGTATCTCGTATTCCACTACGAAAATAACCATTAATGTACATATTAATTTCGATACATTTTCATATTCAATTGTTGAAAAAACAATTGCAAATCCAAATATCTATATTGATCAGTTTGTGATAATTTTTTATTTTTTAAACTTGATAATATTTCTTGCTTTCGGTTACGTTGTCGTTCCCGTGAACTTTCATCGAGTCTGATCGATACGTGACGTAATTTGTGCACGCGATACGCTTGCGAAATACTTTCAATTCGAATCAAGTGCGCCCACGAGCAGTTGAAAGTTAAAGCTACCGAGTGATTTTGTTTAACTCCTGATGAGGTGAAAGGACCTTAAAGTGAATTGGAATCTACTAACGACCGTCCTCGCCGCCGAGGCGCGGAAATAAAGTAATTAGCCGGCAGGAACTTAGACTTTGGAACTTATTACTTCGTTACAAAGATCAGGTTCGACGCTACGTATCAGTTCGACGTCTTGATATCAGGAGGCTTTCAAGCTCGGAACCTTATTTCCGAACTCCGGATATTCTTCGGTGCTTCCTTTGTATGAAATACAGGTCGTTCTCTTTAGATTCAACCTTCTGCAGAAACTTCTACATAATCTAGATCCTATCGAACATGGATACAGAAATAAAGCGATTATTGTCCCGAGTTATGCAGTGGCATGCTAAATGTGAATAATAATGCGATACTGTCGTATCTTTATGCAAAATTTTGCACTTACATTATATCGTGTAAAATTATATTATATATAATTATAATGCAAATTCTTTTGAAAATATTCCCAAGGTTGAAAACATTTTGAAAGGACAATTCTTTATTCTCGCATGTCCCAACGACCGATCGATTGGAAAGTCTTTCTCCATCATACCGTGTCAATAGAAAGACTTCTACCTAGTCTGATTTCAGTCAATTACAACTACGAGCGACGCGACGTCAGCGTTTGAAAAAATTCAAATAGAGTAATTCTATTAAATCACGGTGAAGTGAATTGCGCGAGTGACTGGAATTGGTCAAATCAAAAGGCGGACGCATTCTGGAAAAAAGCGCGTACTCCTCTTTGAAATTCATCCTTTAATATATTGATTCAAAACTTATATATTAATTAATATGTTAAAAATAAAAGATAATTTGGATCAGCAATGTAATGATCATTTTAACAATTGAACGAATCCCGCTTTCTAAATGTGCAGACACTTCGAAATTATCCTAGTATCCTAGCACTGGACCGTAAGTTCAGCGATCTGAGAAGGTTGTCCTCGAGGCATTCTCGAATCTCTATTATCGCTCGTGTTTCAAAAACGATTGTTCAACAATGATGTAGCTCGTCGCTCGCTGACAGTATGAGATCAAAATCGGTCGTCGTTCTCACGTCGAACGTCGCCTGGAAACTTCATCGTGGCGAGGCGGAAGAACGGAAGACAGAAATAATTTCGCGCTCGTCGACGTGCACGTGCATACGTCTCTTCACGTGTACGCGCGAAAAAGAGAAGAGAGATACGTAGGAGGGAGAGAGAGAGAGAGAGAGAGAGAGGAGGACGACGAAGAAGAAGGAGGGAGGAGAGAGAGAGAGGGCACGACGAAAGAAGGACAAAGATGGGGCTGTGTCGCGAATGGATCGTAATTAAAACTGCCGTTCTCGAGGCGAGGCGCAGATTTCTAAATGCGCGCGCGTGTGTGTGTGTGTGTGTGTGTGTGCATATATATCTGTGTGCATACACAGGTCGCCGCAATGGATGAAAGTAGGAAGAGAGAGAAGGAGAAAGAGCTTGCACGACGGAATAAGCTTGCAGTACACATTGCGACGTCGCAACGTCACCCGAATACGCGTTCGGTTAGGTCAGTTATCGCGGGAGTTTCTCGATCCTTGAATGTGTCTCGTATCGTCAGTTGCACAAATTCTACAAATTCACTTGGATCAGACGTAACGTAAGAATCCGGCTTGTGTAACTGATGGATGCTAATTATCGATGTTTGATCGACACGGTTATTCAAACGCGACATGAGGTAAAATATTGATATTATGACAAATATTAATATTTGATATTATCTATATAAATTCCATTGGGTATACATTATGGGAAAAGTATTAAACATTTTTCCTTTATATAGATAAATATGGTTGGTATATTTAATTTTCCATTATCCGATAAAGTGAAATTTTCTCCCTCATATGACTCGCGTCGTAAAACATCGCAACCCTACATCACTATAATGCTATTTTGCGCAGTTTATCTTGTCCTCACAGAGATAGACTGTAACCATGAGATAGGTCAGTAACCGTTCCCAAACTCCCACCGCCCTTCCAGTGCTGCACCGCAACAAAGTTATATATTTCCTTCGTATTTCAGTACTGTCTAAACAGATTAATTCAAATTAAAGACTCAGCGAATTAATAATTCGAGCAGTTCAATATCAAAGGTGACACAATTCCGCATAAAGGATTATTTTGCAAAAATTAAATAAATTATTTTTCGCAATGAATTATTTTTAAATAAATTACTTTTGAATTAAGAATATAAAAAAATTGCACAGATAAACAATTATATACATCAGATTTTGTCTCAAATGTATTAACAAGTATTTTTGTATTAATATTATTGTTCATTTTGACAATTCCCTTTATTTTTTTAATTAAGAGAACTTTTAATTAAAGGGATATAAATAAAAATAAGCTTCAGCTTTTATCTAAATAAAACACGTATACACATATACATCTTATTCTCCACTTTTATCCTTTCTATTATTTTTTAAATTAAATTATCTTTAAATTAACTAAACTATCTTGCTTCACTTTGTTCTCAAATAATTATCACACTCTCGCCCATAAAAACGTGTGAATGTATATGTGTCCGTGGTATGTGTATGTGGTGAGCTCGAGTTCGTGGGTTCGCTAATCCCAAATGACTGCGCGGACCACTCGTTCCCCGTAGGATTTAAAAAATGATTCACGATCAGACGTGTGTCGGACGTGACGTCTCTCCGAATATATCTCTTCGTGATGCCTGTTCGTTTTCTCATCTCGCTTGTCGAGTTCCTCAGAGAGCATCCACGTGGAAACGTGTATGCACGTGACCAGATGAACGCGCTAGCGCGCCAATCGCAGCTCCATGTTTGGCGATCTCTACTATGAGGAGAGAGCCAAGAGCGAGTTAACGGCTATGGGGCTTCCTTCTGAGACAGTACCGATCCAATCGCGTTTGCACTATCGTTGTCGGCTCTCTTGCCTGCCTCGCGATTCTTTTCCATCGGATTTCATCAGATTTTCATCGTAATTTTCACGCGAGAGCGAGTTCTCTCTTGAGGGATCCCTCCTCTTTGAGTACCATACGCGCGTATTAAGTGTACACCATGGGTACCGTAGCTTTAAGTAAGTTTCGTGAAATGTTTTGGTGGAGATAGACCTATAATGAGAGCTAATGTGCCGACTTGAGACATTTTAAGCTTTTGCGTAGAAATAGCATATTCTACATGTAAACGTGTGTGTTTATTTTAATGAGAGAAAAATATCAAGACTCGATAATGATAATACCACAGGTATAAATATGATGAACTTTTTGATTAAAGGACAAATGTCACTCATTGCCTTTAAAAAGCTCGTGTGATCTATAACGATCGGTATAATGTATACCACAAGTTTCACATTTCATTCGTATCACACTGTCCACTAGATAAAATTACATCATTTATCTACATCGGAGTAATTTAGAATACGCAAACAGAAATAACAATGATAACACGTTTATGATGTTTTTACTAAGTTTTTAAAAATAAATTCTAAATTTGAACAATTTGAAAGAAATTTACCGTTTGTTTCGAGAAGTTAAAAGTTGTAATAATTCACGACCTTCTCTCCTATCCTCTTTTACTTTTCAAAGCTGATTCGTAAATCAGAACAGTTCGCAAAAGTTTCATTTCTTCCGTTAGTTGAAAGCTAAGGATTCAAAGGATCGCACGTACGCTTCAATAAAATCAAATAAACGTCCAACGAAAAATCCAACGAAACAAAGTTCCAATTCTACTCGTATAAATGTAGCTGCCATGTTCTGACATTACGCGTGTTTTTATTAAATCATGTTTGTTCAAAATTGTTACGGTCAATAAAATGCCACTCATGAATTTTATTTATACGTTCGGAATTAAAATTCAAAATTCGAAATTTTTATAAGAATTTCTATGAGATTGACAGTAAGAAATATAATAATGATAAACATAGTTTATGTAATGAAATTTTTGTAATGAAATGAAAGTTCAATTAATCTTTGTAAAATTTTATAAAATGCAATCGCATATTTTGAGTTTACGTGATATATTTGATAGACAGCTCTCGCGCGTATTTCTGATTCTAGTCTCATCCCTTTTCAGATCGTCAGAGAGACAAAAAAGAAGAGTCTGAAGAGATGCAACGGTGTCCATACTTACATGAGATGAAAGAGCGTTTGCTCTCCCAGCCAACACCAACCGACAGCCTGGACATGGAACGACTCGACGGTGGTACTCCTGTTAAGGAGGCTAATCTACACAACGATTATCCAGCACACACGAATCCAGGTGTGATACCCGAACCTCCGGAAATGCCGCCTGATTCTTTAATCGGTACCGTCGTCAAGGTGAGTAATTAAACGTCAACTAACAACAGATTGCGCATATCAATACGGAATGTCCTGTGAATCACACGTTTGTTTGTCCGGAGCTTATCCAGTCAATATTTAGGACTTGTTTTTGTCCTTTATAAATAGAAATTATTTGTTATTCTTAATAAATATAAGATATCGACATTAAAACAGATTTTGATCCAAAAAATCCAGAGAGAAAAATCAGTCTGATGGTTCTCGGACGTTTCGTATGTGATAAGATAAAATTAAACGATATGCAACGGCACGAAAAGTGTAGATTGTGTTCCATATAATTTCAAAGTAATAATTCCAGCGGAAGTTTTATTGAAAATGTTTTATTGTTATTATGGTGATTTCAGCTGAACTCCGATGGCTATGGGTCGCACACGTCGCCAGCGCATGCAAGGCAGCCCCTAGTTCCACAGAATGCGAATAACCCACCCCTCTGCCTCACTCCCACGTATTCCGGTCCAGCTACTGGCATGCTGCCAAAGAATGCAAAGTAAGTACATTCTAGCAAATACAAATTTGCAAAAAGCTCTGTGAGATATACTTGTGTAAACAGTTAGTGCGCTCTGAGAAATAATACTTTGAAAGTGTCATTTTCAAAATACTTTTAAATATTTTCTTTAAAATGATTTTATATGTTTCAATTCAATTAGCAGATAATTACGATATAGTTAGCTGATAATATGAGGGAATATAATGTTCTCTCAAAAATATTTGATATACACATATACAAGATGAGATCCGTTGCGAATTTTATCAATTAGAACATAAGCATCCGGTAACATCACTCATTTAACCCGAAAATCATCACACCACGTGGAACCCCGATATCGTGTCTCAAGTACATTGCTTATCATTAAAGCGTCTCTGGAAGCCTTCGAGCAACTTAAAATAGCCTTCGAGATACTAACTTCAAGGCGGTTACACATTTTACGATCTCCGATACTTGCAGACGCCGAGCTCGTTCTTTAGCTCGGCGTTTTAGCAAGCAAGTGGCTTATAATAGAGCCGATATATTTGCGTATTTCAAGCTTATATATTTAGCAGGGATACATCGATTCATTATATAATTAGATAGACGTCTCTCTCATTAATTATTTTAAATATTTTGATAATCAAGAAATAAAATGAAGCTAAAATAAAACGCAAATCTAAATCTCTTCACGAATATCTTAAATGTAATTTCACATATTCATTGTAGAAGTAGTAAGTAGTTACTTAATTAACCGAACAAACGATTTTTTGCAAATTACTTACCAGATGCCACAATAATATTTTCTTGTCATCTTAAACGATTTCATAATAGAGATCATCGAATGTGTTACAATACGCTAGTAGCTGACGCAGCAATTTACGACCAGTCAAATTCAATGGTGCATCAATATTCGTTTTTTAAAGAGGAACATCATTCTCAGAGCTCTTTCCAGCAACGATACATAGATAAATGTAATCAATAATTATTTAACAGACATATGAAAAATAATTTAGAGTAAAACTCACTAGATGTAAAATTCATCTGGAATGTGAATATAGCTTATGAATTTTAAATGAAAACGAGAAGAAATACAAGAAAATCACAAATTCCATTTTGTCATATAAAAAAATCAGAATGTATGTGTTTTAAAATTTTCTGTCAGTACACGAGAGCTAAATTATTAATATAAGATTATGAAAGAATTGGAAAGATCAAGTAAGAATTTCATAGACTATGACTATCGATATTGCGCACGTTCTTTCAGACACAAAAATTTTTCAGACACAAAAATTCATTTTCCGTTTTAAGATAAATTTCGGCTTATCATCGTTTTTTACGATATCTCATTTAGAGTTTAGTTCTAGAGACGCGGAATCGTGGCAGCACTGCTAGCGGGTCTCGAAATCAATACTGCTGTGCGTGAGTGTCTCGCCTGTCGCAATCCTTGAAACGCGATATTATAGCACGCAGAAAAATACTACGAACGAGCTGTTGCGCCTGATTCAATTGCATAAATCCAGGTTACCACGCGATTCTTAATTCCGCGCTTAACTCTTTTATACCTTCTCGCCATCTTTACTAATGCACCCATAAAAGAGTTATAGTAAAAAAACTGGAAAGAGTAATAATAAATAATGAAATAAATGTGAAACTTGAAGGTACACGTATTAAAAGTTAATACAAAGAAAAAGATTTAATCTTTATACCTCAAGATGGAAAGAAAAAGGTAAAGAAGGTACCTTGTTGCTTCTGTTTAATTTAAACCGTGATTAAATGACAGATTTATTAATATAAATTACCAAGCACCTTGTGATCGCGTTGTTCGCTACTTTTTTAATATATATATATCATGAGATACAAAAAGTTGCGACATCATGGGGCCAGGAGATGAGAAAATGGACCACTGCCAGACATCGTCATTTAGTTCCTAAATAATGTTGCACATGCGCCACCGAATATTGAGGAAACGTGTCACGACATGCACCTTCAAACCTTTGCTAGACTTGTCAGCACGCAGAATGTAATTTAAAATTAAGCATACGAAATCTTGATAAAGATCATCGATGAAAATCAGTAATGCGATCGAGGTATTACGACGTAAAATACGTCGCAAACGAAATACGTACGAATTACGTATATCTACACCTACGAGATTCGTCGCGATATTCGCAGCCATATTTATTTGTTGTTGCATCGCCAAAAGTCGGCGATTCCGTTCCTCCGTCGAGCAACGCTTTTTTTCCAATCACCATGGTTTCTCATACCCACGGCCTGTATACACGGGGCAAATTCTGCCAAATTCTCCGGTTTCCGATCAGCCAATCGAAAAGGCAATTCCGGCATTCCAGATTGACAATCGGCCGGCCCCGTCTTCGCTGGCTTGCGCACTTCCGCTCGCCGTCATCGTTCGTCGATCGATCGGCGGTGGATCGGTACGTTGACATGCCACGAAAACACGCACGTGATCAAGAAGCTCCTCGCGCGACGAGATGATCTTTGACTCGGGCCGAGATACGCGGCAGCGCCGTGAGAATCGTACCGACGCGAATTCTCGCGCGTGAGGAAGGTCAGTGACCCCCGGTGGAAGCGTTATCGAGCGGGTCAGTGGGTCGCAGAACCACGGAGCATTTTACCTCCCCACCCCCTCGTCACTACTCCCCCTGGCTGTAGCCACCACCACCTTCCCCCACATTGAACTATCTCGCGCCGGCCGCCCATCACCACCCCCCCCGACATCTTCCCGCTTCGTGGCGGAGCTGAACCGAATACGCGCTTGAAATCCCCTCGACTTTTTGCAAAAATTCGTCCTTTCACTCAGGACGGAATTCTCTAGCGGCGGCTAACAGCCTCACTTTCAAATGCATACGGCTTAATGGAGCTCAAACACCATGTATTTGACACACCCGGCCTTCGTGTAACACCCCTGCCTGTAGTCTGAATAAAAAAGAAGTCTCGACGACTAATTTAACGTTATGCCTTGAGAAATCGTCTCTCCCCCGTAGTAAAAATACTACGTTTAGTTAATTTCGGATACATATTCTTTTTGTTCGTGAGCAGATTCTACAAACGAATTTTAATATTAGAGTATATTTCCATTAACGGAAAAATTCTACGAATAATTCCCGATTGCGCTTGAATTGAAATGCGTTAAAAATTTGACGTCCATTTTACGCGCAAATAATGAGATGCCATTGAGGACTCTCGAACGAGGGACTCGTTCGATGAAGATGAATCGGGAAAGAGACGACGGGACTGTCTGCGAAAAAATTCATAGCACGACAGCAGACTCGCCGGGATAAAGAGAACTCCTCCCTGTAGCTCCAATCGACAGAAATCACAAGATGCTCAATAAGCTTCAATATCAGACAACAAGAAAATATCTATTTTATGCATCCCCGAATGATCAGCGATAGCTTTTAAAAAATTAATTTAGATATTTCTACGAAATATTAAATATAGACCTGTGCTCAGATTTAAATATTTATGAGAGGAAGCAATCGAGCGATATGAAAGATTCATGAATCAGAAAGAATTTTTTAAGACACTAACATAATCTCTGAAGCACTTCTTGAGAAAAATATAAAGAAATGGTGTATAGGTTTAGGAAGAATTTTCTCAGAGAAAGATAATATTCCGAGGCATTTCCGAGCAAAGAAAAAATAAAGGAGAATTGAAGACGAAGTTTGGAACGGCAATGTTGCGTCGGTTTATCTATGCAAATGAAATTAGTCCATTATAGTAATCAAAGAAATGAAAATATACTCTCATTTTTACAAGAAAATTAAACAATTAACATATTCTCATTTTTACAAGGAACAATAAGCAGAGCATAGTAACACGATTTACTGATATTTTGGAAAAAAAATATATTGAATGAAAATCGCGATCTTCGACAAATTTCCTTATCCTAGTGAAAGAAAGAAGAAAAAAAGAAGTTTTTCTCTTTGCAAAAACGGTTCCGGGATGGTGTATCGAACAGCCACAAATTCTTCATTGCGACTTGCCGCGTCCAGGACGCGTTTACATCTGTAAAGAGGGATTTGAAGAAGTGGTCGACGACACGGAGGAAAAATCTACAAGGATGCAGGACTCCAGTCGGAAAACGTAGGGCGTCGAAGAACGTATAAGTTGATACGAAGAGGACGGGGAACATCATCTCCCCCTCGAAGAGGAGAGCAGGGGAAGAGAAATAGCGAAAGAGAGAGAGAGAGAGAGAGAGAGAGAGAGAGAGAGAGGAGGGAGGGAGGGAGGGAGGGAGA